CAGGAAATCCTCACCACCCTGGGCTCCCAGGAGCTTAAGGAGCCCCAGTGAAGATGGTAGAAGGGCACATCTTCTGTGGCCCAGCAGGCAGATCGAGGCCACTTGTCCCTTCTGTGGTAGTAGACAGCTAAGAATAGCATTACAGACTTCAAATTCTACAGATTCCAGAGTGAATGGAACATAGCTGTGGAGAACAATTTTTCACACTGAGCGGTAAACGCCCTCCAACACACGTAAACCAGTTGCCTAGATTCCAGTGTCTGCAGTCAGAGTACAGGCTCCACCTTATCATCTAGTCTAGCTGCTGGCCAGTTACAGCCTAGGAGCCAAGGCTGGACCTCGCCTGCAATACTATAAATAAAGTTTTATTGGAACACACCACACCCACTTGTTTACATTAAGGTCTCTGACTGCTTTGGAAGGACAGGGACAGATGGACAGACTGTATGGCCTGAAGAACCTAAAATACTTTCTATCTGGTGTGTTATGAAAAAGTCTCTTTACTAGATCTGACTGGCTCCTTATCGAGTCCAGCTCCTCATCCTATAGATGCAAGCTCAGGCCCAGGTGAGTAAGGGATTGAGTTGTAGCATGGCCAAGACTTGAACCCAGATCACTGAGTCAGCCCAGCGCTCTTCAAATCCACTTTCTGGATTTGAATGAAGGACAGAGGCACACGAATTCAATGTTATGGGAGGCCCTTTTGTTCCATCTCTAAGAATGAAAATAAACACTCTGAAATACTAGAGGCAGCCTCCCCCACACATAAACTATTTTCTTCAGGCTTAATAACCATGGAGGAGGTTTGATTTTGTAGGGATTGTTTTCTGTTCAGTGTGTTTCAGGGTTCAATTAGCTTAACCTGTGTGCACAAGGAGGCATCTCAGGCCTCAGAAAGCGACCTACAATTGAAGATGGTCAGTGTCGCAGCGCACAGGGCAGGAAGTGATGCAGCCGTGGCTACCAGAGCCAGACGTGGGGTTCCCCATGTGCTTCTAGGAGAGCTGCACATGCTCACGGAATGCCCCAACAGCCCTGTACCGGGGCCCAGCTCAGATGCTATAAACTATCTCTAAGCAATTCCAAGAGAGGAAATTTATTTCCATAGCACTGGTGGCTCAGACCAAGAGGAACAGAATCTGCCTCAGGCTCCGTGGTCAACTGGCTCCTCGACAGGGGAGTAGGTTACAGGTCTAACCACAGAAGAGGGAACCGGTGCCCCCCACCCTCACCCGAGGGCAGAGGCATGGAGCATAGACACACCTCACACCACTTCATTCTAACCCCCACTGAGAAAGGGTGGGGCAGCCATAAGATGAGATATCCTGGAGGCCGCCTCCATGTGAAGGGCCTGGGGTTGCATCCAGACACCTCCCTGAGTACGCTGGGCATGCAGATGCCTAAGATCTGGGGCTGACTGCGGGTGGACTGCCGTGTGAGACCCTGCTGCGGATGCTGTCTTTCTCACTCATGGAAGAAATAAATAAATATACTTCTTTTTTTTTTTTTTTGGAGAGATTTTTGCTATAGGGTGTGTGTGCTCGCCAGACAGACAGAGAGAGACAGAGAAATAGAAAGCGAGAAATCACCCCCCAGGGGGGATGGTCACGCCGCAATCCCTTCTCCTCCATTCTCCTCTCGGGATCTTGGGCACGCACGCACACGCGCCCGGCATGAGTTTTTTAAGCCACCGGGTCCGGGACACGAACCGCGGTCGTCTACGTGGGAGTCCAGCGACATAGCCATTACGCTAACTGCTGGTTCCCAATAAATATACTTCTAAAAAGAAAGAAAGAAACAGCTTGCACTGAGTCTGGAAAATCCTCCCCTCCACCAGGAGGTGGCAAACACGGACCAGGGAATCCTCCACTCACTGGGCAGTGCACAGCCCTGTCAGCCCTTTCCCCCGCACTGGGGAAGGTCTTCAAAAGCTCTCCCCTTTCCCACTGATAAGCTGGACTGTACTGAACCACTGAAGGCTAGTAAGAGCACCTGAAAAAGTAAGAGACTTGGAAAGTTAAACCTGTTTGGCAAAAATGAAGAAAGCTCTGGACGCACAGGCCGAGCTCCACACCTCTGTACACGTTAACAGCGAACAGCCTGGGTGCAGTACCCCCGTGCAGGCTTAAAACTCACCCCTGTCACTACAATTATAGGACACCGGGCAGCTTATTTGCACTTTCATTGCCTTTGTTTCCTCACCTGTTAAGTGTGGATGATAACAGCAGTATAACTACATTGATTAGCTGAGATATTGCAAAGAGGTTGTTGCAGTATCTGGCAAGGCGTGCCTCCTTTTCCTACCGGATCCCTTCACCGTGGCACCTTCATCCAGCCCCTATTTCTGCAAGGTGCAGACATGCCCGCCTCGCCACTGTCTGGGAGACCCCGGATGGCTCCAGGGGCCACATACCTGAAAGGCTTGCTGTCAGGGTCAGTGTCCTTGAACCCCATCTCCTCAAGCTTACAGCGCCGATACAGTTCATAGTGGCGGGTGTGAGTCTGTTCTCGCAAGTCCTCCATGTTCACGCGGATCAGCATCTCCCGCAGTTTCACAAAATCACAATGGTTTTCATTTTCAACTGCAAGAGACGGGGAAAAAAGAAATGGACTGGTGCCAGCAGGCAGCGTGGTAGTTAAGGTGCTAGACAGATTCCTACACTTAAGATGCTGGACTCCCACATGGCTAACTGTGGTTCAAGTCCTAGACCTGGCGGTTTGCTTTCTCTCTCTCTCTCTGGTAAGTGTGTGTGCCTTATAGCAAATCTGAAATAGTAATAATAATGATAAATAAAATAAAAAGAGAGAGATAAAAAAATCTGAAGTGATACTTCCAAGATGTTACCATCCCGCCTGGATTCTCTGAAGATTCTCTACCAATTCACCTTTCATTCAGGATTTCTGACGAGATGCCGACTACTGAGTGCCTGCTCAGTGCAGGGCACTGGTGGAGCTCAGCAGAGACCGTCTTTACCTTTCATAGTAACCTACCATATGGGCTTTGGGACTCTTGCTTTGCAGATGGGGAAGCCTGGCTTTGATAAGCAAGCTGACCTTCCAAAGAGAGTTAGCAGAGTCTAGAGTCAACCACTGTGGCATCTGGCTCTGAAGCCAGGCCGATTTCTAACACTCACGCTGCAGGGTCTGTGTGGGGCCGTTTGTATATGCCACCTCACTTAGCCTCATCAACCAGCCTGTGAAGAAATGCACTTTCTTATTGTAGAGAAGTTGGTAAGATTCAGAATAATGTGGACCAGCAGTTAGCATAATGGCTATGTCGCTGGACTCCCACATAGTCGACCGTGGTTCGCATCCCGGACCCGGTGGCTTAAAACTCACGCCGGGCGCGTGTGCGTGCGTGCCCAAGATCCCGAGAGGAGAACGGAGGAGAAGGGATTGCGGCACAGCCATCCCCCCTGGGGGGGTGATTTTTCACTTTCTGTCTCTCTGTCTCTGTCTCTCTCTCTGTCTGGTGAGCACCCGTGCCCTATAGCAAAAACCTCTATAAAAAAAAAAAAGATTCAAAACGGTGTAATTTTCCCAGTGCCAAACGTAGGTCGATTAATCTCATAATTGTCAGATATTTACAGAAATAATATTTAATTAGAAGACAATTTTTCAGGGCCAGTGGGGGGCATAGAAGTTAAGGTGGCTAGGACCAGCGGCTGGCTATGTCGCTGGGCTCCCATGTAGTTCACCATGGTTCGAGTCCCAGACCCAGTGGCTTAAACTCATGTTGGGCGCATGTGCGCGTGTGTCCTCTAAGATCTCAAGAGGAGAATGGAGGAGAAGGGACTGTGGCGTGGCCATCCCCCCAGAGGTGATTTCTCACTTTCTGTCTGTCTCTGTCTTTCTGGTGAATGCATGTGCCCTATAGCAACCCCCCACCCCTCAAAAAAAAAAGAAAAAAAAAGAAGGTAAGGTGGCTGGATCCCATATGGCCAACTGCACAGTTAAAGTCCTGGACCCAGCAGCTTGAAAATCATGTGGACATGTATGTATGCATTCCCAAAATCCCAAGGGGAGACTGGAGAAAGGATTATGGTGTGACCATCTCCTCTGAGAGCTGAATTTTCTCTCTCATTCTCTCTCCAGCAAGCACACATGCCCTATAGCAAAACTTTAAAAAGGCCACTTTTCTAGAGACGGTAGAAAAACAAGTAACTTGTATATAATGAACTTTTTACTGCTTTCTTATATTTAGCTGAAGAAACTGGTCCAAAGTCTTAGAGAACTCTTTTCTACCTGGAGATTACACTGAGTTTCCTACATAGCCCGACATCCTTTAGGGCTGCCTCATTGTCACTAGGGTTCGGCGCCCATTTCTCTCTATTGTCTACCTACCTGATTACTGCTCCTTCTTCACCTCCATGACCAGGTGTAAACTGCACCACTGCTTACATCCTGCCCACTATCAAGGACCTCCCTAAACAAGAGTAGCAGGCAAGAAATGTGGCCATTCCCATTCACCACAGGGACTAAATAGGAAGAGCCCTTGTGCCAAGATATGCACGTACCCTGCACCACGCCCCAGGGGTATTGCCTGGCCTTTGCCATCTTGTTGCCGATCTTCACCTCTTCGGTGCTGCCAACCACTGCAAATGGGAGATGAACCTGGTAAGCAACAAAGAGATAGAGAGCATTAGCTTCCACAGATCTGACGAAGACTTTCTCTACCAGCTCCTGTACTCTTTCTCTCTCTCTCTCTCTCTCTCTCTCTCTCTCTCTCTGCAAGAAAAAGGTAAGAGAAGCAGAACAGGAAAGAGATTCTATAGTTTTATGGTGTGCTCTATGAATCATACCCCGCTCCCACAACTGTACTCAAGATTCTCTGCTTTTTTAAAAATTTATTTATTATTATATTGCTTTCTAATTTGACCAGAGAGAGAGAGAGCAAAGGAGAGTGAAAAAGCAAGCTGCCAGGTCTGGGATTCGAACCATGGTCATTCATGTGGGAGTCCAGCACTTTAACCACCATGCCACCTGCCATGCCCCCCCCTTTAATATTCTGTAAGATACGTTCAAAGGGAAGTAGAGGAGTTTTGCAAGTATTTAGTAAACTTTGGACCTATGCTATCCAATAAAGTAGATGCTGCCTACATATGAGATTGAGCACCTGAAATAGGGCTTACAGAACCAAAGAACTGAGCACCTGAAATAGGGCTTACAGAACCAAAGAACTGAGCACCTGAAATAGGGCTTATAGAACCAAAGAACTATATTTAAAAAAAATATTTAACTTTATTTATTATTATTCTTCCCTCTGACCAGAGAGGAACAGATTGAGAGAGAGAGAGGGAGAGTGATAGTGAGAAAGCAAGGGTCCAGCCCTCGAACCATGGTCGGCCACGTGGGAATCCAGCATCTTAATGACCATGCCACTTGCTGATCCCAGAACTACATTTAAAATTCACATACTTCAGTTACTTTACATTTGAATTTTCAATGGAAGCAGTATAAAATGTCTTTCCATTAACTACAACTTCATTGTTCTGGTAGCACTGCGTTTCACTTGCTTCAAATTTGAATGGAATCATCTAAGAAAGCAAGCCAGTTGTATCAAGGTATGCACAAATATTAAAGGAAAAAAAGTATCTTGGAACCAGCAGATGGCTTAATGGTTATGTCACTGGACTCCCACGTAGTTAACCATGGTTCAAGTCCCAGGCCAAGTAGCTTAAAACTCATGCCGGGTATGTGTGCATGCATGCCCAAAATCCCAAGAGGAGAATGGATTATGGCATGGCCACCCCCACCCCGGTGGGTGATTTCTTGCTCTCTGTCTCTGTCTGTGAGCTCAAGTGCCCTATAGCAAAAATCTCTTTAAAAATAAATAAATAAATAAATAAAATAAAAAGGAAAACTATCTTTTGGTTAGAATGTTAGAAATAAATTGGAGGACCAATAAATTGCAAGACCAGCAGTTGGCATAACGACCATGTCGCTGGACTCCCATGTAACAGACCATGGTTCAAGTCCTGGACCTGGTGGTTTAAACTCACACAGGGCACATATGTGCCCAAGATCCTGAGAGAAGAATGGAGGAGAAGGGATTGCGGCGTGGCCATCCTCCCTGGGGAGTGATTTCTCGCTTTCTGTCTCTCTCTGTCTTCTGGTAAGACCACACTCGGCCTATAGCAAAAAACCTCTCCAAAAAAAAAAAAAAAAAAAAAGGAAAAAAAGAAAGGGGGGGGGGGTGGGGGGTGGTAATTTCTCACTTTCTGTGTCTGTCTCTGTGGTCTCTCTGGTGAGCACACATGCCCCCTAGCAAAAGTCTCTCTTCAAAAACAAAAAAAGGAGAGAAATAACTTGGTTATGTGAATCTATATTTATTTTATGAAATATAAATACAGATCAAATATTTCTGATGGAAATTTAAAGTTGGGATTAAGATATGTTGTCGCTGTGAAATACACATTAAATTAAAAGACCTACCACTACATTTTCCCATGAACAATGTTTATATTAATTACATGCTGAAATGTATTTTAGATATACTGGGTTAGGTAAGTTTTTTAAAGTAACTTCATGTTTCTTTGGGTTAAATTCTGAAGTTAATTTCATGCTTCTTTTTACCTTTTTAAATGTAGCTCAACAATTTTTTTTTTTTTTTGGGGAGGCTTCTTCTCTGGGGTGGTTGCGCTTGCCAGACAGACAGAGAGAGGAGAGAGAGAGATAGAAAGCGAGAAATCACCCCCTGGCGAGAAGGCCACGCCGTAATCCCTTCTCCTCCATTCTCCTCTCGGGATCCTGGGCACACACGCACACGCGCCCAGCGTGAGTTTTAAGCCACCAGGTCCGGGACGCGAACCACAGTCGACTACATGGGAGTTCAGCGACATAGCTGTTACGCTAACTGCTGGTCCCTAGCTCAACAATTTTTAATGACTGGTGTGGCTCATGTTATCTTTCTACTGCAAAGCATATTTCTACTGAACAGCACTGCTTACGCAGCTGATGACTGCACACATGTGAAGTGGAAACACACTTTAGCCGAAATTACTGACTCGCGCCTCGCACTTAGATTGATCTCAAGCAGAGACTGTGTCTGAGACAGCAGCTCTTTCACACTGGTTTATTTGGTAGCCATGGCTACTTTGGTGGGAGGAGTCATACCATTTCCTTCCCTTTTTTCTGTTAACTTATAAAAATAAGATGATGTTACGTAGCTGCTCTAAGAGGGATTATTCAGGAGTTCTTGATCCAGTGTTCTTTAACTACCGATAAGTTAGAAAAGGGTTTTTTTTTTTTTTTTTAAGCCAAATCCTCTCCCCTAGGGAGCCTGACATAATCCTTGACTGGAGGTGCCCGAGTGGCATTTTATCTGATGCTTAAGATGTTTCTGTAGCTCCTCTCACCCTCGGTAGGAAGGAAAGAAGCCTGATCTCTGTCAAATTCAAGCCTGAAACTGACATGCGTTCCCCAAGCTGAGGAACAGCAGGCCCTTTCTGGTCAACATTTTGGGGCAATGACCAAGAAAACCTCATCTCCACTTTACTGCAACAAAAGTAAACTTGAATGGAATCTGTTTTCTTCAGATTTCCACACATCATAAAGGATTTCATCAGCAAAAACTGCAGTGAAGAGCCTAAAAGAAAATTTCTGGAGAAAGAGCAGGATTAATTTGGAACGCCAAAGATCTTTAGTTCTCTTAATCTGATAAAAGAGAGAAAGAGCAAAGTAAGTTTTTTTGTTTTTTTTTTTTTGGGTCAAAGAAGTGAAGTACAAATTTAGTTTCATGAACACACAACATTATTTAAAAGGAGGGGGTGGGATACCAGGAAAATTTAGATAGCAGTCATTCATGCTACTTCATGCTACGTCCTGAAACAACATGTCAAGCTGCAGAATACACATGTGTCACCTCTGCCAGAGCTTTTTGACCATGCTATAAAACACACTACTCTGCCTGGGTGGCAGTGGGTGTAAAAGGCTGACAGGTCAGCCCAAGAGCCAAACTGCCTGGGTTCATGTCCTGCCTCCACGATCCACAGCGATGCAATCTTAGGTGCTAAGCCACAGTTTCCTCACATATGAAGTAGGAATGAGAATAGTACCTCTCCACAGGAGTGCTATAAGAATTAAAAGTAGGGGCCATCAGGTGGCATATTGGTTACGGTGTTGGGCTCCCATATGGCCAAACACGGTTCAAGTCCCATTCTCTCACTTTTTCTCTCTCTCCTGGTCTCTCTCTGGTGAGTGTATGTACTCTGTAACAAATTTAAACAATAATAAAGTTAAATAATAATTATTTAAATTTTATTTACTTATTATTATTATTGTCATTATTTAATATGCTATTAAAGCTGCCACCAGAGAGACAGCGAGAGAAAGTAAGCCACCAGGTCTGGGACTCGAATTATCATCGGTCATGTGGGAGTTCAGCGCCCAAACCACTGTGCCACCCACTGGCCCCAAATAAATAATTTTTTTTTTTTTTAAAAAAAAAAAGAAGAAGAATGAGATATAAACTCTTGAACAGTGCCTGGCACACACAGATGCTGTAGAAGCTTCAAAAATGTCTAGTGCTATTAGTAAGAAGCTCTTGAAACCCATAACCAGAGAGTCTTAGAGCTGAAAGAACTCTTATATATATTATCCAATTCAATATTGTTTGAGGGAACCAGCAGTTAGTGTAATGGCTATGTCGCTGGACTCCCACGTAGTTGACCGCGGTTCACGTCCTGGACCCAGTGGCTTAAAACTCACGCCGGGTGGCTGTGCGTACGTGTGTGCCCAAGATCCCGAGAGGAGAATGGAGGAGAAGGGATTGCGGTGTGACCATCCCCCCTGAGGGGTGATTTCTCGCTTTCTGTCTCTATGTCTCTCTCTGTCTGTCTGGCGAGCGTACGCGCCCTATAGTGAAAAACTTCTCCAAAAAAAACCCAAAATATACATATATATATTGTTTGAGAATTCCCTTTACAAGTTGACCATGTCCTGGACCCGACCGTTGGAATCACACCAGGTGCATGTGCATGTGTGCCCAAAATCCTGAGAGGAGAAGGGATTGCGGCATGGCCATCCTCCCAGGGGTTGATTTTTCGCTTTTTGTCTCTCTCACAAGTGCACACTCTCTATAGGGAAACTCTCTTCTTTCCTTATTTATTTAATTTTATTTTAGGGGGAGAGGTTTTTGCTATAGGGCACATGTGCTCGACAGAAAGAGAGACAGAAAGCCAAAAATCATCCCCTGGGGGGAATGGCCACACCACAATCCCTTCTCCTCTCAGGATCTTGGGCATGTACGCCCAGTGTGAGTTTAATCCACCGGGTCCGGGACTTGAACTGCGGTTGACTACATGGATGTCCAGCAACATAGCCATTATGCCAACTGCTGAACTGCTAGTCCCGAAAACTAACTCTTTAAAAAAAAAAAAAAGAATTCCCTCTATAGTATCTCTTCTAGGGGGTCAAAACATAATCTGTTGCTCACCAACCGCTTTTGATGAGAACTCAATACCTCAGTTTGGTGTTTCTTCCACTGTGCTGGCTCTGACAGTTAAAACACTCACTTCTTTGTGGCCAAAACACTTCACTGCTCTTTGGCCCATTCCATTCAGACTCTGGAATAAGTCTACTCAGTCTCCCTACTGGCAACCTTCCTTTCACAACACCCCCCCATGGTGAATCCCCAGGGAAAATCTACTCTCCAGCTTCTTCCAGGAATTCTAGACCCTCTGTTATCCCGAATGCCAACAGCCAGCACCGGGTATCTTTATGCAAAGAACACTGACTTTATGGAAGCGATGCAATCCCAAGAGGAAAAGAGGGAGGGTCACTGTAGTTCGTAGGTGAGCCATGGCCATGAAATACATAAAGGCGTGGTGAGAAAGACCAGGCAGGATGGAGGTTCATCGGGAGGGGCCCTTGCAAGCCACGGCCGCAGTTAATCCTCTCTCTCCTGACTAGTTCATCTCTGTGATGTGGAAACTGTACCCACGACTGCCAGTTTACCTAACGAATCAGGAAAGGAGGAAAGGCGGGAGCCAGTCACTGCCGCAAAACTAAGGTGGGCCGACACAGTCCCACCCACAGACACAGTCCCACCCACACGTGGAGCAGCTGTGTGGGGATGGTATGGGGCTGGCACTTCCTCCCCATAAGATTTGAGGAAGAAATCAGAAAGGTTAAGAGTGGGAAGGACATTTGAGATCATCTTATCTAAACTCTCCCACTCGATGGATGGGGACACTGAGGAGCAGGATGGCTACATGGGCTCCTGTAGTGGCCGAACTGGGCTCCAGCTGAGGACTTCAGGCTCCCAGACCCGGGCACCAGTCAGGACTTTCAGGAAAATTGCTCGTCTGCATTTTCCCCAAGGACTTACACTCATGGTTGCGTTGATTTCTGCCACGGTTTCTTCGTCTGTGGGGAACTGATAGATCTGGACGCCATTACTAACTAGTTCACTCATGATCTTACTCTTGAATTTGTGCAATTCGTTCTTGGCAATGGTGTCAGCTTTTGCAATTATGGGAATGATGTTCACCTATAAAACAAAGGAGTGTGTTTACATAATTCCAATGTAAGAAACACAAACAAGTGAATAAAACATAGCAAGCAACTAAGTATCGGAATAAATAAATGTTGGAAAAGTCAAGACGTATTTTTCAATGTTTTTCTTTTTTTTTGGAGAGGTTTTTCGCTATAGGGCGTATGCGGTCACCAGACAGACAGAGAGAGACATAGAGACAGAAAGCGAGAAATCACCCCCCAGGGGGGATGGTCACGCCGCAATCTCTTCTCCTCCATTCTGCTCTCGGGATCTTGGGCACGCATGCACACGCGCCCAGCATGAGTTTTAAGCCGCCGGGTCTGGGATGTGAACTGCAGTCGACTACGTGGGAGTCCAGCGACACAGCCATTATACTAACTGCTGGTTCCCAATGTTTTTCTTTTTTTAAGAGAGATTTTTGCTATAGGGTGCATGCACTCACTGGAGAGACAGAGAGACAGAAAGCAAGAAATTAACACCCAGAGGGAGGGCCACACCTCAATCCCTTCTCCGCCATTCTCCTCTTGGGATCTTGGGCACTCATGCACATGTGCCCAGTATGAGTTTTGTTTTATTTTTTAAAGAATTATTTTATTTAGGTTTATTTATTTTTAAAAATTTGACCAGAGAGGAACAGAATGAAAGAGAGAGAAGGAAAGAGAGAAAGCAAGCCGCCAGGCCCGGGACTCGAACCATAGGTGACTATGTGGGAGTCTAGTGCCCTCAACCACCGTGCTACCTGCTGGCCTCTTAGTGTAAATTTTAAGCCACTGGGTCTGGGACTCATACTGCAGTTGACTATGTGAGAGTCCAGTGATGTAACCATTACACCATCTGCCAGTTCCTGTATTTTTCAGTGTTTTTCTATGCAAAAATGTGTCATGACTTTTCCAACGACCCAATAAAAACTGTAAAACCTTTCTTAAAAAAATAGAGATGATATATAAAATCAGACTTACTACCTAGATATTGAGAAAAGGATCATCTTTTAACTCCACCTCCTAACACGTATATTTCTTCCATCCTACCCTGAAAGCATGCTGTCATTTCCTCCTGTGCGCGTTCATTCTTTCTTACAGAGTAAAAGGAAGTGTTATCATTCTATGACAAATAGCGATAACAAAGGAGCCTGTTCTTTGAATAACAGACCACTCCTTTCAGACCCCTCTCGGGTACTGTAGGTGTTGCTTTTTGCAGGTCCTGACAGTGTAACAGAAACGCGGGTGCCAGGGCAGCAGAGTATTCACTTATGCAGAGGTGGCATCCTCCCTTTCTTCTGCTGACCAGAAAACTGATGGGAGAGGAGAACCTATGCATTAACTGAAAGGAAAATGGTTTCATCTACTTTCAGATTTTTCAGAATCACTCCAAGTAATTCTATTGAAAATCTGCTTCTACCGAGGTACTCCTCTGAGCCAGAAAGAGCCCCACTGCCGAAGGTGAGGCTCACTTTCAGAGTCTTGGTTACTGAGAACAACTGGAAGTTGACATTAACGGCAGAAACCCAGAAGAGAGCTGATGGTGCCCTAGCGTGCAAGCTCCAGACCCCAAGGTGGGATATTCTCTTCCCAGCCGCCCATAGCCCTGTCCACACAACACGTTCTCAAAAACTCACTTTCTAAGATTCACTTGCTTCTACTCCCTGATAGACACAGAGGTTTCAATAAGCTGCTACTGACACCTGAAACCTGGGACCTGGGACCATGCTCTCTACCCAGCCCAGGTGACTGGAAGCTGCGCCCCGTCAGGAACTGTCTCTGGGAGGTTTCCTGGGTCACGCCTGCATTCCTTTGCCTCTTTTATCCTTACAACCTTTCCTCCCTTAGGGGCAAGACTGGGAAAGTCTTTTCTAAAATAATCATATGGAGCCAACCTGTGGCCTTGATGGTTGGTTAGGGCGGCTGGATCCCACATGGCTGGCCATGCAGTCCGAGTCCTGGACCCAACGGCTTGAGAGACACACTGGATGCGTGTGTACAAAATCCTGAGAGGAAGAGAGGTGGAGGAGAGGGACGGCAGTGTGAAGCCATGGCCATGGCGAGTGCTGCTCTCTCTCTGGTGACTACATATATCCTCTGGTAAGATAAAAAATGAAAATAAGGGGCTGGCAGGTGCCATAGTGGTTAAGGTGCTGGACTCTCACATGGCCGACCATGGTTCAAGTCCTGGACCTGGCAGTTTGCTTTCTCACTTTCCCTTTCTCTCTCTCTCTCTCTCTCTGGTAAAATGAAAAAAAATAAATAAATAAATGAAATTAAATAAATAAAATAATTCTTTTTGGGGGAGAGGCTTTTGATATAGGGTGTGTGTGCTCGCCAAAAAAAAACAGAGACAAAGAGACAGAAAGCAAAAAATCATCCCCCGGGGTGGATGGCCATGCTACAATCCCTTCTCC